GCAAATTTTCCACCTCTGGGTAAGCGCAGAAGCGCCTGGGATCACGGAAAACCCCACTGATGTCTGTGCACATGGACCCACACCTCCAGCCAGCCTCCCTCGACCGGGTCACTGCGAGGCTGAGGCTGCCTTCAGCAGCAGTGAATGAGCTGGGGTGTGCATGTGGGGAAGGAAAATGAACTAAAAAAATTAAAAATAACCATAAAAAAAAAAGCAAGTGAGACTATTCAAAAGGGGGACTTTATTTTTATTACACTGGAGCCAGGCGTCAGTGCGCCAGTTCAGCTTTGATACACAATAAATCAGCAAAGCTGTCACTCAGTTTGGAAACCAAGATTGCAGTGGCACTAAAAACACATTGAAAACATTTACTTTCTTCCCTTTTTTTTTTTTTCCTCTTTTGTTTTTGGTACAAAAATGGTACAAACAACAATACAAAATATTTGTGCTGTTGACGGTTACAAAAAAAGGTTTTTGAACTGGGTTAACAGACGCAAACTGCTTTTGCGCTTCAGCATGAATACAGCAGAACAGCATTAGTCTTCCTTGAGAACAACCACAGTCATGCGGGCTGCTACACAGCTTCTCCATCATAAAAGGAAACATGCAAAATCATAAATGAAATTAAAAAAAAAAAAAAGTGCTCCAATTATACATCTATATGTTGTTGCGTTTTTTTTTTCCCCTATTTGATTTGTAGTTTCAAGCACTAACTACATTATGTACACATTGTGTGAGCAATTGTATATAGGGTTGGTGTGTACTGGAAAGAACTTTTATTTTCCCCATGGAACTGAGTTAACTTTGCGTGGGAGACACCTACGTTGTCTAGCTGCTGTTTTAAACATACGCATTCATCATTATACAGCATTCTCCCCCCCAACATTTTTTTTTTTCACACTTACAATGAAGAGCTCCAAAAGACATCACAACTAAAAGTCCCGTATTTTATCCTTAATACGTTTTTTCTGAGATTAAACAAAGTTGCAATCTTGGCATATTGTGTGGCACAGACCCTGCACTGACCATTACCATTCCCTAATGCCCCAATGTCTACCCTATGCGAAGCAGTTGCAGGCAATACAGCCGTCTCCTAAGTCCCACTTAGTCATGGATTTGGACCTGATTACTCCTAAAAAAAACCTTGACAGAGGCCCCAGCTGCAAGGGAGGGAACTCCCCACCACCACCTTACAACCGCCAACAGCATCGCCTGGTCCAACGACAAAGGAAAATAAAAATCAAAAATGGAAAATGCAAAACCAGAGGCAAAACGATGGCTAGCACATAGGACAGCTAGAACAGCCTTGCCTGTTCACTGTCACCAACGACCTGCTGAATATCCTCGGTCCCTGGCAAAGCATTTCAGTGCCTGATGCTTCTCCCTATTTACACGCTACATAAGAAATAGGCTTGACGAGGGCTGCGCTGAGACCGTGGAGCCATGTTCTGGATGCAGCAGTGACCCCAATCCGTGCGGTCCCTGGCCCAGGGATGTCCACCCGCACACCCTGGAGGTGGGGAGGGCATAGAAGGGGTCCGGTGTGCCCTGAAACCCTGGGTGCTCCCCATCCCTGCAGTGGTGGTGTCCCCTGGCAGTGCTATGGGGTATGGGGGTAAGGGGCTGTGACGCTGGAATTTCGGGGATGAGCTACCCTCCACATGCCTCAAAGCAAGTCCTGCCCCAGTGCCTCACTGCATGCAAAGAGTGGGGGCTCAAATATGTGGGCACGGCTTCATTAATTAAATGCTTTAGTTTAGATCAGAGGACAAGGGTTCTAGGCTCAGTTCTGTGGCCTGTAAGAAAAAATAGCTGCTGTTTGTTCAGCCAAAGCCGCTGTTTCCCCACCCTGGCTCCTTGTAAGCCACTGTCACCTCCAGCTGCGACTGGCAGTGCCACATCACAGCCACGAGGATCAGAATGGGAAGGCAGAGCAGTGGCACAGCCACCTTCCCAATGGGACCCCTTCCATTAATGTACATTTTATTAAGTGGGTGCAAACTGTAAGAAACATTAACAAGCAAAAAAAAAAAGGTTTGCAAAATGTCATCTATTGTCATTGCCTGATGTGCTCCTTGCTTACCTTCTGCTGGTCCCACTGCCAGGAAAGAGCCCTGATGCTGCTGCTACTGGTGGGGCTGCAAAACTCAGTGGTGGAGGATGCAGGGAGGAGGAAGAAGAGGAGGAAGAGGTCCTGCAGAGGTAGACTGAGCAGAACTGGGTCAAAAGACAATGAACTAGCAGGTTTGATTTATAGGCTCATGGGGCTGGAATTGCTAGATTGCAAATGCTGCAGAAAAAATATCTGCAGATTTAAAAAAAGAAAAAAAAAGTCGCCAATGGAAACAGGCAGGTTGATTTATTTTTAATCACTCAGACAGTTTTGTTTGACTTAGGTTGCATAAATGTTCTTAAAACCCTGAAATTTAGCTCCTGCTCTCAGGGAAGCAGCGCCAGGTCAAGCGCACGACACAGCTCGCAGCGGAGACCCGGCCGGCAGCGCCGCATCCACGCCAGCGTCCCAGGAGCCGTGTGCGTGCAGCAACGCCATGGATGGACGCAGAACCATCGGCATCGCCCTGGCCCTCAGGCCACGTCCTTCTCCTGAGCTGGTGGTGAGGCTACAGTGACGGACAAAAAACACCCGACGGGTGGTCATCAGCGAGAAACATTAAGTGTATTTTTTTACTATTCACTACCTCTGCTGTGACTGGGCAGCTTCTGTGGAGGGATAGAGCCGAGATGGTGAAATACTCCAGCCTGTGGCTTTTCCGAAAGAAAAAGGGGAAGAACGAGGGGTGCCCGTGGGTGAGGAGCCCAGGGTGGCGCCCACAGCTGGAGGACAGGCTGTGAGCTTTGCCGAGGGCGGGCAGGAGGAGGTGGACAGCAAACGGCAGGAGCAAACGAAGACTTTGATAGTGGTGACACAGGATGACCAAATTCCCAGCTACAGACCTGGAGCCTGGAAAGGCTTGAGGTGCCAGCGGTTTGCCAGGCCCTGTGTGTCACCCCACTGGAGCTGTCCCCCTCCCGCGGTCCCAGCCATCACCTGCTTTCCTCAAGAGACTTGGGTGAGCATGTGTTTGCTCTCTGAACCGTGAAAGGACAAACTGACCCATGGACTGATCAACTGACCGACTGACTGACCAAGACAAAAAAGAAAGACCCCATCCTCGGTAGGAAATAACGTAGCGGTAACGTTGGAGTCCCCTCGGGCAGACTTTTACCACATTCCACTTCGTACAAGACACATTTCAAATGCTCATTAATTTACAGAAATTGCATTTTATAGAAAATATGATACAATGAAATATAAAATGCACTAGGAGCATTTCAAAAATCTATAGAGACGATCTTGCAGCCTAGTATACCCTCTGTAACGACGTCCACTCATCTCCACAAGCTCTCGTCCTCTCATTCTCCCGCTCGGTGCACACGCTCGCCCCCCTCCCCCCCCCCCTTTAACTCTTAGCATTCAACTTGAGAATTAATAGAGATATCAAAAAAAGTGTGATTATCCCCTGGATAATCACCTTCCAATACTGTGCACATTCTTGGATTTAAACGAAAATATATCTAAGCACTTTTACAAGTTTTAGCGAACCCACTGCAAAATCGTCTGCAGAATATAAAACACAGGTAATCCAAGATTTCATAGCACATTAATTAAGTGGCTCATAATCCATTAAATGTGGTTTATATTACACATCCATGCAGTCTAAATCATTTTACAAACATTAGACATAAACCCACTAGTCCAAATCAGTAAAGGAAAAATGTAATAAAAAAAGCTAATAACTATTTGTTATTGGTTAAACTGACCCTATGTATAAACTAGGTAGTATGCTACCATTTATAATACTGATGTTGAACTACGCCTGGATGCTGCAAAACCTCTTGCTTGCTTGGCAATGCTTGAGCATATTAACCACAAGATACTCAACAGGCCCTCGTTGCACTTCTCCAAAAAAAAAAAATCTACTACAGATAGCAGCGCCTACCCACCAAAGAGAAAGGACACACATTAGCTGAGTCACACGATGGTGTCAAGCTTTGGCTACTAGTGCTCCGAGGCATTAACATTGTACTGGACTAACTTCATACTTACAGACGGCAAAAGTGCTGAGAAACCGTTCCCACCCTTCGAGCTGCCCCGGACTCGAGCGGAATCGCCGCGCAATTCCCGCTTGTCGCCGGGAAAACCGCCTCGGCATCCTCGGGGACGCGGGACACCCCCACCTAACCCAGCCGGTATTGACATCCCTTGAGAGGTCCTGGGAGCCCAAACGCGCCGACAGCGTATAAAGAAAGAAACGGGCCTTTGGTCATTTCACGATTTACTTGGTAGGGTTTAGGCAAGGGCTGCCGGAGATTTGTGTCGCAATAACCAAAGGCTTTATCAATGCTATAGTTCTATGCAGCTACATTGAGTGTGACCAGGTGACAGCAGAGACCCCCCCCAACCCGGTCGGTATTTTGCATCTGATAACACTGAATTATATATTTACAACATGATGACTAGTTCACCACCTGCTGAGGCTTCAAGATGGCTGTTAAGTTTTCGACTCAAAACAACTTCCCGCCCTCCCACACCAATCCCCCCCTCATCCTCTTCCACCCCAGAATGAGTCACCCCCTTAAAAAAAAAAAAAAAAAAAAAAAAAAGCAAAAAAAAAAAAATCTCCACAGTTCCTTTTTT